AAAAAAAAAAAAAAAAATCAGTGCATACATTTTTTTTTTTTGTAGATCTGACACCCTGAGAGTGCACTCTTATAATGCCAACTTTGTGGAAGAGCATTGTGAATATACATGAAAAAGCTAGTATTTCCTCAATAAAGAAGAGATGTCCTTTAATACATCTGTACTTGTGAGAGATAAAATTTCTCCAGATCATGGCTGTTTGGGTGACTGCCGACGTGGTGCTGAGCTGCTGAAGCTGTGATTCACCTTGTCACGTGTCTCGGATGGACCAGCACGCGCTTGCCAGGCGGGTTGCACACAATTACCTGCCACAGTGACACGAACGCACACGGCTCACTCTTTTCACTCTTCCCAATACTCTTCATGTGTTTACAACAGCTAATCCAAATGAGTGCTGTCAGTATAAGAGTGCTTGTTCACAAAAATCTTTGTTGCCTATTTTATGGTATGAGGTCGTCTATGGAGTGTGGTGGCATAGTTTCACGTTTCTCAAATACATAGCCACTGTAACCTATAAATAAATGTCTTTTAAAGAATTTTTGAAATTATTTTTTCCAGAATTACACTTTTAGGATTTTGTTCTTTGGGGACTTTAGACAGTAGGCATTTTGCTGTCTCAGGATTTCAACATCCAGGATTACACCTGGGACCGTGACTACAGGGATTATGATCCAAATATGTTCTACTCAGATCTCGGTGCTGCATTTCCAGTGGGACCGCACGGCCTTTCTGGGTTTTGTTCCCTGTCCACATTAATGAGAGGACATAAGGACACGGGGCGGCTGCAGAGGGCTGCTAATCAGCGGGGGTGTCAGAAGGTGCCGGGAGGCCGCAGTACACGGTGCTCTCCTCGAGGTCCCTGCCGAAGAGCTGGTGCTTTTCAGCTGTGTAGTGGAGGATGCTTCGAGTCTGCACCAACTTCATCCCGTCTATTTCAACCTAGGTAACCAGGTGGTTACCTAGGACGAAAGCCCAGGGTTAGATGTGAGCTCTTCTTCCCTGTTCTCCAAACCCTAAAAAAGCGGTGTCCATGAAAAGGACAGCGGGAACATGGCTGTAGGGAGCAGTGGAAAGCTGCCCGTGACAGGTAACCTGAGCTTCATTCAGGGGAGCAAAGTCAGCCGTACTAGAAGCCTGAAAACTAACACTGTTATAAACGTATCATTTTCACCCCAAGGAAACACATACCCGCAGATCATACTTCTTCAGAGCCGCGCTGGCCAAGACAGTACTGGTACACAGGCTCTTTCAGCCTCAAATAGGTAAAATATGAAACAACCCAATTCCTGGGTCATACCAGACATATTTGAAGGGCTGCGTAGTCGTGCGCGGCCAGCAGGTGCGCAGGGGGCAGAGGAGAGAGGGCCCTGTCTGTCGCCGCAGAGTCGCGCTGTGCAGCAGTGCGCAGGCGTGCGCTCTGCCTCCGATTGCACAGCCGCAGACCCCTCATCAACTGCGCTGCACTGGCTGGGATGAGCCCAGAGCTTTCTCCAACAAGCCTGCAGCAACGCTTCCCACACGCCACACCCTGGCCTGAGCCACAGAAATCAGCTCCTCACGGGGATGGGGACAGGAAAGGTGGAGGGCACGCCCTAGCGACTTCAGGCCAGCGCCACACAGGACAGGTGGCGTCACAGGCCTGGAGGAGGGTACTAAGGGAGCCGTGGGTTGGGCCGGGCGGGACGAGAACCGCTCACAGCCCTGCGTGGTGGCCCGCCAGCGCCTGCTGCTGCTCCCAAGCCAGGCAGGGGTGCCGAGGAAGCAGGGCCGGTCAGGGCTAAGGGAGGCCTTTGGCTGACTTCGCTTCTCCGGTGAACCCGCCCTGAGCTCAGACAAAAGGCGATGGGGAAGACTAAGGAGGGGGAGTGCAAGGAGAAGAAAGACAGAGGCTGGGGAAGGGGAAGCAGGGCTCAGGGGTGGGGAAGGATCGCTCACGCAGATGGAGAAGCGTGCCCACCCTTCAGTTTGCCCTCATACAACTCCCGAAGAAGGAACTTCTTGGTAATTTCGGCTAAGCACCCCACTTGCTTTCCTGGCTTTAGGTCAGGTCTTTCTCCCCAGTTTTTATTAGCACACGTTTGCATGACGTAATGCCTGCACTCCTTGTGCGGAGCACCTCTGTAAGAGACCCCAGCTTGCTCTTCGTCCCCTTCCTCCCTCTCCCTCCCGCCTCCCTTCACCTCAGTCGCCCTGTGGTTCAGGCTGGTCTGGAACTCACTATGTAGACCAGCTTGGCCTCAAACTTGTGCTCCTCCTGCCTCAACCTCCTGAGTGCTGGCGTTACAAGCGTGTGTCACCACACCCGGCTTAGGGCACGATTCTTATGTTTCTAAAATCTTTGCTCTTCCACATAACAATCAATTCTTAACAAGAAATCAGCCCGAAAGACAGCTGTTTCATTTTCATACTCACCACCCTGCAGCTTCTGCAACTGTTCTTTCGTTTCCAGAAATTCCTCATCAAACTAAATTTTAAAAAGATCCCCCCCCCCCCGCCAAAGATAAGTATCATTATAGGTTCAGAACTAAAAATATCAAATTAAACTCCCTCAAGAAGCAGAGAAAGCATACACTTAGCGTTCACATCTTGGCTTCCAAATATCACTGCCCATTTCTCCTACAAGGTTGATTCTGTTATGCCAGAAACGAAGTAAGTGCTACTTGAGAAGGATTCCTTCTAGACAAGAATTAGTACTAATTACAACATATGTAACATACCGGGCGAGGGGAACCAACAGAGACCAGAAGGCTTGTGTAAAAGCAACATGGTGTGGAATTTATTACTCCTGGGTGCAGGCGGGCAGAGAGCAAGATAAGACCATCTGCCCTGGACAAAGAAATCCGCTCCGCACAAAAAGAACTGTGCCCCTTTTACAGGGATGGGGAGAAGGCAAGGAATTAGGTGGGAAGATGCCAATAAAAACATCTGCAGTAAAGTTCTCTGGCAGTCTTGCACCTCAGTGGGCAGAGTCCTTGAAGCGTCCAGTGTAAATTCTTGGGTGCCTCTAGATGTCCCCAGATGTCCTAGGACCTGCAAAATTCCTCGTCCTATCTTATTTCCTTTCCTGTGCTGGCCAATGACAGCCTCAGGTGCTGAGCTGAGAGCAGTGCTTCTTCGGGCAAGCAGGCTGGGGGCTGGGAGAGTCAGGTTCAGTGGAGCCTTGCACTGACCAATGAAGAATTAGTGTAAATGATAAATTCGGAAAATTACAAATCTGTAGATTCCAAGTGTAATAATTCTAGTAAAGATCATGAGTGCTGAAACTCAGTGGTAAAGATAGTCACACAAGCTCACGTGTCAGCCCGTAAGTCACTCACTCCCGATAGGGGCGGACTACAGTGGAAGGTCTGGAGAGCTCACCACCTTCTAACAATGCAACTGAGCTCTGCGGTGGGGGCTTGGACATCCTGTGGCTCTTGTGTGACACCTTGAGAAGGGCACAGTAAAACCTATGAAAATATCCAAAAAACATTTAACGTGAATCTAGTCGACAAGGTAGAAACTGGGTCTACCCAGGAGGTGGGCTATTCTGTGAGATAGCGGCCTCGCCTCAGCAAGAACTGAGGGTATCAGGGAAAGGCGATACTGCTGTGCTCCGTGAAAAGAGATCCAACGACACAGCAACCAAGTGCTGGAATCCGGGGGAATGTCACAAGAACGTAGGAAACACGTAACCGTTCGGTGACATTAGGGAGACAGGAGGAAAAATCTGAATATGGACTGCACATGAGATGTCAGCTTAGCGTTAGTTTGTAGTTAGTAGGACAATTATTTATTTCTTCTTTAACATGATTAAAAAAATAAAACAGAGAGAGGAAGGGAGACCACACATGTAACAGAACATTAACACTAGAGAACTGAGTTGAAAGGAATCCACTGTGCTAATCATAACTGGCCTGCAGGCGTGAGAGTTTTCAAGTTTGAAAGCTAAGGGGGAAAAGGAACAATGAAGACAAGCCTCCCTCTGGTGACATTATTATATGTACATGTTCTAGAATGTTCCTCGCTAGTGTCAGGAATCCCAGGATGAGTCCCCACCTGGGCCTGGGTCTGCGCTGCACTCTGGGGTCATCCAACGGGGGCAGAGCTGGACACTGCAGCCTTCCCAGGCCTCCAGACCTCTGTCTCCGGGAGCTGAGCTGGGGGGAGAACCAGGATGATGTGTGGGCTTGGCTTCAGTTACCAGGGTCCTCCTACTGGGAGGGGACAGGCCTTGGTTCCCGCAGAAGTTGTCACCTGATGCCCACCAAGCATTAGCTGTAGGGTGACAGATCTAGGGCTTGTGTCCTAACACCCCAGAGGTGTGAGTGTGGGTGTGGCACTCTGTGCTAGTGTTTCTCAAACTTTTACAACCACAATTCCTCAGAACACAAGGGAAGTAGGTGGGTGGAGGGGTCAAAGACTGGACCTATACCTCAATTCACACTCAGTACTCAGGAGGACCTAGCAATATGCATTTTAAAAAACAATCCCTGGGGCTGGGGATTTAGCTCAGCGGCAAAAGCGCCTGCCTGGCAAGCACAAGGTCGTGAGTTCGGTTCCTGGTACCGGAGAAAAACCAAAATAAATAAATAAATAAATAAAAAACAAGCCCTTCCAAACGATCCCGACTTCTTACTTTTGAGAACATGTGAAAATGTGTGATGTTCCTCGCTAGGACAGTTTTGTATCAGGCTTTATGAAACCACTGCCAAGTGAGGAATTTGCACTGGAATGGGGGACAAGCGGGTGAGACAGAGAAAAGGAAAGTCCTATGCAACAGCCAAGACCACCAGCTCAGAGAGGAAACGCCCAGGCGCAGTTCCCCAGGGAGGCTTCTAGAGACCTCCTTCCCACACCCTACCCGCTTTCTTCTGGGTGAACTGCTCCCGAGTCACGAGGTTCTGGCCATGCCTGCTCCTTGACAAGCGTCCCCTCCCTCTCAGCACGGGGACTTGCTGGGTTTCCGAGGCAAATGCAGTTGTAGGCGTCAGAGACCAACAACCAGTGCGCAACCGCGTCTGCAAGGCTTCAAGTAAATAAATAAGCAAAAGCAAGGCCTCAAACCGAGTGACCGAGGGGCTGGGGATTTAGCTCAGCGGCAAAAGCGCCTGCCTGGCAAGCGCAAGGTCGTGAGTCCGGTTCCCCGTACCGGAGAAAAACCAAAAAAAAAACTGAGTGACGGAGACCAAGGGCACTGGCTCCTGGAATTAGGACAGCTGTTTCAGACCAGGTTTTAGCTGCCTCATCATTCCGATGTGAGCGTCTTGCACACTCTCTCCTGGGACACTGGGCATCATAAACTTCTCCCAACTGTGTCAGATCTATATGGGCACACATTTAGCGAAAATGTCTTCTAGCAAATTGGTGGGGAGCAGCTCCTCAACACCATCTTTTGCAAATAGCTACTATCAGCCACGCGGCTGGCTCTACCGAGGGACCCGTCTAGCTCCTTCACCTGGCCTGCAGGGTGGGCTCCTCACTCTGTCCCGTCTGCCAGCCCACTGTGACTGCTCTGGAGTCGGTGCTCAAGTGACTCACGCTCTTGCTTAACTAATTTAAAGTTGGGATTTTCTTACCGTAACAGATATCCTGACTCAGGAGAGTAGAAGCAGGGTGGAACGAAGACCGAGAAAAATTTGACAAGGGATGATATTACACAGAGACACCCATTCAAAACCCATAAAAGAAATCAAGAATAACAAACTCAGAAGCATACCTGGGTTAGACAAATGATACAAATAAATGACAGGCTCAGACAAGTAACATAAATAAGTGTGGTAAATCTGGTTCAGGTTCTGGAACCACAAATTTTTCCACTTTTCCTCCTCACATACTCAGAAAACAAACACTGAGACAAGAGAAATGGTGGGGAAGTTCTTATTCACATGAACAGTTGCTGCCACAGAAATGAGGGACCGGCATCTACAGATCTTCCGAATTCTTACAGAGAAGTTAGACTCAAGATATTATGTAAAGGGGCTGGGGATTTAGCTCAGCGGCAAAGCACCTGCCTGGCAAGCGCAAGGTCGTGAGTTTGGTTCCTGGTACCGGAGAAAAACCAAAAAAAAGATTTTATGTAAAAATGATGTCAATCAGTGTGGTGCCTCGATTCACAAGTGTTTGTGAACAATTTGGTTTGAAAACAGAAGCATTTGGCAAAATTTTGTTTTTGCTTGCAAACTCTGTAACAGATGACAAACCCAGGCATAGGAGATCTTTCTCACACTAATACAAACGTGACCAACTTCTCCAAAATCACAGAACAAATTGTTTGTGAACCGAGGTATCACTGTTATTTAGAAAACTACAAAAACACTGGCAAGATATAATGCAAAAACTGAAATGAAAACATGTAAAACCCACATTTGTCATCTTTGGAAGTTGCTAGGGTAACAACTCATTCATCTGAAAATTTATAAAAGAACCTAGCATTTATAGAGCATTTCCTGTGCGAATGGTATTTGGAGG